CCAAACCAGCAATGCCAACTCAACCCAACACAACCCAACCATCCCAATGCCCACTGTCATCCTCACCGGCGTGCCGGCAGGCAGCGGCAAAGACGACGATGTCATTCCAATCCTAATCCAACCCAACCCAACCCAACCCAACGCCCATGCCCATCCTCACCGGCGTGCTGGCAGGCGGCGGCGAAGACGATGATGTCATTCCCAACCCAACTCAACAATCCCATCCCAACCCAACCATGCCATGCCCACACTCACCGGCGTGCCGGCAGGCGGCGGCGAAGACGATGATGTCGTCGAAGGCGCCGCTGTAGCCGGGCGGCGGCGGGTGGAAGGCCAGGCTCCGCGAGCGCTCGCGCCGCAGGTCCAGCAGGAAGGTGGAGTGCACCATGGGCACCGCGAAGCAGCCCCGGCGCTCCCGGCGCCGGATCGGCAGGTAGGCGGGGGTGCGGCGGTAATAGCCCTGCGGACGGGAGTGACCACGGGGAGTGACCGCCGGGAATGGGGAGTGACCGCTGGGAGTGACCGCCGGGAGTGACCACTGGGAGTGACCACGGGGAGTGACCACTGGGAATGGGGAGTGACCGCTGGGAGTGACCGCCGGGAGTGACCACTGGGAATGGGGAGTGACCGCTGGGAGTGACCGCCGGGAGTGACCACTGGGAGTGACCACTGGGAGTGACCACTGGGAGTGACCGCCGGGAATGGGGAGTGACCGCTGGGAGTGACCACCGGGAATGGGGAGTGACCACCGGGAGTGACCACCGGGAGTGACCACTGGGAACAGGGGAGTGACCACTGGGAGTGACCACTGGAATGGGGGAGTGACCACTGGGAATGGAGACAGGAATGTGGGAATGGGCCACACCCTCACCTGTCAGTGCCCTCACCTGGGCAGTGATGCCCACCCTCACCTGTGCCCCACCCTCACCTGTGCCCCACCTCACCTGGGCAGTGATGCCCACCCTCGCCTGTGCCCCACCCTCACCTGTGCCCCACCTCACCTGGGCGGTGATGCCGCACCAGAAGTTGGAGTAGGCGGCGCGCGAGTCGAGCATCGGCGCCACCACGGTTCTGTTCTCGGCCAGCAGCACGGCCAGCGTGTCGGGGTTCACCAGCACGTT